GCAGACTTCTCAGCACAAACGATAAAGTCAAGAAGAGCATGGAGTGAAGTATTCCAGATCCTAAAGCAAAATGATTTCCAACCAAGACTGATATATCCTGAAAAACTATCATTCAAAATAGATGGTGCAATACGATACTTCCATGACAAAGAACAGCTGAAGAACTTCATGAACACCAAACCAACCCTGCAAAAAATATTGAAAGACAGTTTAGATACACAAAGGAAAAAACCACTAAGCAAAGCAAATAATTAAACAGAACCGAAAGATAAAGATGCAACAGCAGAGAGATAACATTCCTACAATTAACCAGCATTTAACAGTAATAACCATTAATGTAAATGGTCTCAATGCACCAATCAAAAGAAACAGACTAGCAGAATGGATCAAGAAACAAAATCCAACCATATGCTGTTTACAGGAAACCCATCTAACCCAGAAAGATACTCACAGACTGAAAGTCAAAGGATGGAAAACAATTCTTCATGCAGCAGGAATCCAAAAAAAGGCAGGAGTAGCCATTCTGTTTGCAGACAACGTGAACTTTAAACCAACAATGACCATAAAGGACAAAGAAGGTCACTACATACTCGTAAGGGGAAAACTCCAAGAGGAAGAGATAACTATCTTAAATATATACGCACCAAACTCCAGAGCACCCAGTTATATAAAACAATTATTAACAGAAATGAAAACTCAAATTATCAGTAACACAATTGTAACAGGAGACCTTAATACACCACTGACACCAAGGGACAGATCAACCAGACAGAAAATGAGCAAAGAAATAACAGAACTGAATCACACCTGTGAACAAATGGGTTTGATAGACATATACAGAATGTTCCACCCAACAACATCAGAATACACATTCTTCTCAGCAGTACATGGATCATTTTCTAAAATAGACCATATATTAGCTCACAGAACATATTTAAGCAAATGCAAAAGAGTTGAAATCATCCCTTGCATATTATCGGATCATAGCGCTCTGAAATTAGAAATTAATGACAAAGGATACTGCAAAAATTCCGCAAACACATGGAAACTAAATAACACACTCTTGAGTAATCAGTGGGTCACAGAAGAAATTAAAGAAGAAATTAAACAATACCTAAAAGAAAATGAAAATGCAGATACAACTTACCGGAATCTGTGGGATGCAATGAAAGCCGTTCTGAGAGGAAAATTTATTGCACTGAGTTCCCACATCAGGAAAACAGAACGAATACAAGTAAATAACTTGATGCTACACCTCAAACAGCTAGAAAAAGAAGAGCAAGTCAAGCCCAAAGCCAAAAGAAGAGAGGAAATTATAAGAATCAGAGCAGAAATCAATGCAATAGAGACTAAGAAAACAATCCAAAGAATCAACGAATCAAAGAGTTGGTTCTTTGAAAGAATAAATAAAATCGATAAGCCCCTGGCCAACCTTATTAAAAAAAGGAAAGAAAAAGCTCAAATTCATGCAATAAGAAATGAAAAAGGAGAAATCACTACAGACCCAATAGAAATACAGAGGATCATCAACACCTATTTCGAAAACCTCTACTCTCAAAAGTTTGATAACACAGAAGAAATAGACAGATTCTTAGAAGCATATGAAGTACCAAAGCTAGATCAAGAGGATATAAAACTGTTGAATAACCCAATCTCTGCTAATGAAATTGAGAATGTAATTGGGTCCTTGACCACCAAGAAGAGCCCAGGCCCAGATGGATTCACTGCAGAATTCTACAAGAAATATAAAGAAGACCTAATGCCGACACTCCTCAAACTATTCAATGAAATTGAAAGGGAAGCAATCCTTCCTAAGTCATTCCTGGAAGCAAATATTACTCTAGTACCAAAACCTGAGAAAGACCCAACTATAAAAGAGAACTATAGACCGATCTCCCTAATGAACACAGATGCAAAAATCCTCAATAAAATATTGGCAAATAGGATCCAGCAAATCATCAAGAAGATTATACACCATGACCAGGTGGGATTCATCCCAGGAATGCAAGGATGGTTCAACATACGCAAATCAATAAATGTAATCCACCATATCAATAAAGCCAAAAATAAGAATCACATGATCATCTCTATAGATGCAGAAAAAGCCTTCGATAAGGTCCAACACTTATTCATGATAAGAACTTTACAGAAAATTGGAATAAATGGTCTTTACCTCAATATAATAAAGGCCATTTATGACAAACCAACAGCCAGCATCATACTAAATGGCCAAAAATTGAAAGCCTTTACTTTAAAATCGGGTACAAGACAAGGATGTCCTTTATCACCACTCCTATTTAATATAGTACTGGAAGTACTAGCCAGAGCAATTAGGCAAGAAAGAGAAATAAAAGGGGTAAAGATAGGAAAAGAAGAAGTTAAATTATCATTGTTTGCAGATGACATGATACTCTACATAGAAGACCCCCTAAACTCCATTGAAATACTCTTAGATACAATAAATAAATTCAGTAATGTGGCTGGATACAAAATCAATACTCAGAAATCCATAGCATTCCTATACACGAACAACAAAATTACAGAGAGGGAAATAAGAGAAACTGGACTATTCACATTAGCAAGCAAAAAAATGAAATATTTAGGAATTACTCTTACGAAAGAAGTGAAAGACTTATACAGTGAAAATTATAATACACTGAAAAAGGAAATTGAAGATGATCTCAGAAAATGGAAAGACATCCCTTGCTCATGGATAGGAAGAACAAACATTGTGAAAATGGCCATTCTCCCAAAACTGTTATACAGATTCAATGCAATCCCAATAGAAATACCATCAACATACCTTATAGATCTAGAGAAATCACTCCTAAATTTCATCTGGAATCAGAAGAGACCTAGAATCGCAAAGGCAATTCTAAGCAGCAAAGACAAAGCAGGAGGCATCACAATCCCTGACTTGAAGTTATACTACAAAGCAACAGTAGTAAAATCAACATGGTATTGGAATCAAAACAGAGCTGAAGATCAGTGGAATAGATTAGAAGAGACAACCACAACTACGAACACACTCAACCACCTTATTTTTGATAAAGGAGCCAAGCAGGTTCACTGGAAGAACGACAGTCTCTTTAATAAATGGTGCTGGAAAAACTGGCTCTCCATTTGCCGAAAACTAAAGCTAGACCCATGTCTATCACCATGTACTAAATTAAAATGTAAATGGGTCAAAGATCTGAATATTAAAACAGAAACACTAAATCTATTGGAAGACAAAATAGGTAGAAACCTTGGAGACATAGGAATAGGTAAAGAATTCATGAACAGGACTCAAACCGCACGGGAAATACTTCCCAGAATCAATAACTGGGACCACTTCTTATTAAAAAGTTTCTGCATGTCAAAAGAAATCTCCAGCATAGTGAAAAGAAAACCCACAAACTGGGAAAAGATTTTCGTGAACTCTCTCTCAGACAAGGGCCTCTTGTCTAAAACATACAAAGAATTAAAGAAACTCAGACCTCCGAAATTCAAAGATCCAATCCAAAAATGGGCATCTGAGATGAATATGCAATTCTCAGATGAAGAAATGCAAATGGCAAATAAATACATGAAAAAATGCTCATCATCATTGGTCATTAGAGAAATGCAAATTAAAACCACACTGAGATACCATCTCACTCCTGAAAGAATGGCCAGGATCAAGAAAACCGACAACAAATGCTGGAGAGGCTGTGGGGAAAAAGGAACTCTCCTGCACTGCTGGTGGGAGTGTAGACTGGTACAGCCTTTGTGGAGATCTGTCTGGAGATTTCTCAAAAAGTTGGGACTGGAAATCCCATTTATTCCAGCTATTCCACTTCTAGGCATATTCCCCGAAGAACTGAAAGCATCATACCACAGTGATATATGTGCACCTATGTTTATAGCAGCACAATTTGTAATCGCCAGATCTTGGAAACAACCCAAGTGCCCATCAACTGAGGAATGGATAAAAAAGTTGTGGTATTTCTATACAATGGAGTATTATTCAGCTATAAAGAAGGATCACATTGAGATATTTATCAATAAATGGGCACAGCTTGAGACCATACTCATAAGTGAAATAAATCAATCTCGCATGTGTGAATACCGAATAGTTTCCCTAATGTAAGTAATGATTTAAATATATAAAAATATGTGGTAATCATGATTCCCCATTAGGTGGCCTTGAAGCCTTATAAAGTTTTCACTCATTAATTAGAAAGGCTTTATTCTGGGCTTCTTGATATGAAAATATTTGAAGCTAGAGTATATGAAGTTTTACCCAAATATTTCAAGGAAAAAGACACTATGGTAACTACTATTAAGTCAGGTTATAAGGTGGTGAAGTACTAGGTTATTGAAACAGTCATGCTGTGACCTCTATTGTTATATTGTTATGTCCTGTTTTATCTCAATCTCCCCCTTATTGTTTCAAAAAAAAATTATTTAGTCATTTCTTATGTTTGTCTTAATTAAAGAAAAAATTCAAAAAAATTAGGATATATAAATAGTAACTCTTTTCGATTTCCTATTAACTTGTTTTGAAGTCCTGTAGTACTCCCACGATCTTGTTTTGACTGATTAGACTCTGTTCCATTCTATATGATAGTATCAAGTTTGAAGACATAGGCAACTACTTTGAAGACAATAAGATTCACTAAGATACCCATTCTGGTTTGACTATTGTCTTCTTTGGAAGTCCTGTAATGTTTACAATGCCTAAGTTTTATTGGTCTTGTTCTCTACTGTTTTGTCCAACTTTATAATATCTAATAAGATAGACAATTCTTTTTAAGGAAACAAGGGACAACGTTGATAACCATTGGTGATAAACTTGTACTCTGTTCTACACCATGTGCTATGTCTATCCTTGGTATTGACTGACAGCTTTGTTTTGCCATATTTGACTGTATTCTTCCCCCCCCCCCAAAGAAAGTAATAAGCACTAAGGAGTAATAAAATCCAAGATGTGTAAAAAAAAAAAATACTTGTTTATAAAAAACAGTAACGTTCCTTACCGACACATGGGACCATTTCTCTCCACCACACAAATGCCACCATTTCTGCAATAATTTACTGGACACTCTAAAAAGAAGCATCACAAAGATGACAGTTAATTATAAATATTGCTTGAAAGAAGGAAGACACAGTACTATTATCTATTGCATTAAACCCTGTCGTTGAGAGAAAATGTCTTCTCAGTTGTCCCAAGCAGAATGCTCCTAGGCTATGTTCCTTACCTATGGACCTTTCTGTCCTGAATGGGCTCATGCCCTTCGTGTGCTCAGTGAGTCACTATGACAGAAGATTTCCTTCTCTACTGTATTATTTACAATAGACTTACTTAGAACCTCTCTGCATGACATATTTGGGCTTTTGTGCATTTTTTTAAAAGCTGTATCCGAGCATATTTGTGACTACTGAAATTTTTTGCCTACTGAAATATTTCTTTAACGCCACCCAATAGCCAACCAAATCATAGCAGATTAATGTTTTGCATGGATGACCTTCTGTTTTTTCTCCATTATTGGCGGTTGAATCCAGGGCTTTCAAACTGATCTACATCCCTCTATCTATCTGTCTGTCTATCTATCTATCATCTATCTATCTATTGATCTCTCTCTCTCTCTTTTAGATAGGATCTCATTAAATCAGTAAGTCTGAAAAAAAAGTTTCAAACTTGTAATCCTCCTACTTCAGTTGCTCAGAGTGCACCTTGTTTTTTAAATCAACTAAATCACCTGTGTGCACTGATGCACATGTCCTAACCCTGGGTCCAGGATGTGTCAGCACAGTTCAAGTTTGTCCCTTTTGTTCTGGGCCCTGCTAATTCATTATTTGTTTCACTCTCCAGTTCTTGTTTAGCAGGAACATTTATTTTCAAAAATGGTTCACTTACAGGTTAAAAGAACCAAGTATTTTCACATGACTTTTATCATGGAAGTGGTGAGCTCTTTGAGCATTTTATGCTAAGCTCCTGTATTCTGTCTCCTTGTCTGTTCCTACATAACCATGATCCACTAAGGCCTGCCAGTTTTCCTGATTACTTATGACCACCTTATTCCTTCTGGTTTTTTAAAGATTGCCTTCACTTGAGAGGCTGAGGCATGAGGATCACTGCAGGTTTGAGGCCAACTTGGGAGTTTAAGGCCAACCTGTACTACATAGTAAGACCTTGTCTAAAAAAAAAAAAAGAAAGAAAAGAAAAAACAAAACAAAACAAATAAACAAAAAACCCCAAAGCCAAAGCCAAAAAACCTCACAAAATACCAAACAAATGAAACCAAACCAAGAACTTAAAGATCTCCTTTCTTGCATAATACCATTTTTCCTTGTTGCTTTATTATCATTCAATACTTGATGAACCATCACTGCCTTTAACTTTTAATACAACGTATGCATTCAGTATATCTATTAAATGTATTCTATTAAGATAGGCAGAAGAAATATAATCATTAAAAGTAGAGACAGTTTAACACGTTTGATAAGGTTGAGGTACTGGAAGCAGGTTGCCTAAATTGGAATCTCAGCTCAGGTTACCAGTTGTGTAATATTGGGGATGTTATCTCTCTGGGTCTCCAATTTCACTCTACAACACACAATTAAACATAACACCAATCTCATAAGGTTGTTGAAACTATTAGTAAGGTGTTCAAATACTGCATGGAATTCAGTTTCTTGGGGCTGGATACACCAAGCTGAGGGTTACTGCAAGGGGAGCACCCAAGTCAAATTTGGGGATGAAGGGAAAAGTTTCAGAAGGAGAGTCAGTAGGTATTTATTAGACAGTGTTTTGTGTGTGTAAAGGTTAGCATGAAGGAGTTAAGGCCCCAGAAGAAGGTGCAGTACGTCTGAGGAACGGAAGAAGTCCTGCCTAGCTGGGTGAGAGAGCAACAGAGGCACACAGGCCCAGAGCAGAGCCTCAGCAAGGCTGGGGCTGTGAAACGCAGAGTGACTGTTCTTTCTGTGCTTCACGCTTACACAGAGCATACCGGCTCCAGGGAATCAGGTCAACAGAAAGATCAAGACTAAAATTTAGGAGCCCAGACAAGATAAGTGTTTTTTATAACAATTTAGAGAGAAATAGGCTGGTTGCATGCATGAAACGAGTAAGCTACGATGGGGGTGATAGTTATAAGAATTTAAGTGATATGTTCATGTTGGAGTTGAAACATTTTGGTGATTATTTGGAAGACTCAAGGCAAATGTGCAGATTTCTGGCTGAGAAACATACTGTGTTTCCCGATCTTTTCCACTTTCTCCTCTCTTCCTCTTCCCCTCTGTCATTGTAGTCACTATAACTAGGATTGCTTACTGAAGGCTGCGTGTCCACAGTATTTTCCTCAATCCTCCCAATATTTGCCTCATTTTGCGGAGGAAAAGCCTGAGGCATAAAACTGGCCTCACAGCAAAGAAGCCTCCAAACTAGTACTACATCCTGGTCATCTACCTGCTAGTCCTGCTAGAATGGAAATGTTACATGATTTACTATTTAATCTAGTCTTTCTATAATACCTGTCAGTACTTAATATTCGAGGCTTGAGAATTCTTTGAATTATTAAATGACATCTATTCCTGGTCACCGATATATATGATCAATGCCCAACTATAATTTGGAGAGGTACATGTTTTGTAGTCATCTGCCAGAAAGGTTTGTGCATCAAATCAAGTCTCCAATTAGATGAGGGCATTTTATTTAGCTAGAAATCCCAGCATATAGAATATATGAGAGATCAAAACTCAAAAACTTGAAATATTTGTCTGAGAAGTTTTATATATTCATTCTGTTTATAAACTCTTCATTAAGGCATACATCATTATCAACAGCACATATGGCATATGTAAAAATATAAAATACCATTCTACAATTTGATAACTTTAACACCTTTCTCTCTAATTCTGTTTTCAATGGATGATCATTATAATTATAGCATCATGTTAATATAAACTTTGTTAACCTTTACTGTTGCAATTAACTAGACGAACATTTCCAATTTGCATAAGAAATAGTTTTGCCAATTCTGGCCAATAATTTTCAGTTGCATAAGCAACCAAGACTTTAAAATAATAAGCCTTTCCAGCGTGATTTGGAAACAGACTAGGTTCATTGAAATGTACTTAACCTGCCTGAACCTAATGTTCCTGCTAATGACTTACACCCTCAGGTAGGTATAGCCAGATGCTGGCCATCTGTCTGGTGACCACTATGGGGATTATGGGACACTGTAAGGATTGTGCTCATAAAACTCTATGAAATGCTGACCTTAAAGGAATATGATGTTTGAAGAAAAACCCAGAAATGTACAACGTACACTGATAATCTTTAGCAAGAATCATTCTTCAAAGCATTCTTCAAGACAGAAGCACTGACTTCATCATTTCTAACAGACAAGCCAAAAATTATAAAATTTAAACAGAGAAAAACAAGTAATACAATTTTCTTTCTGAAAACTGCACTAATTCTTCATTTTACTGTCACATGATTTGTACTTTGTTAGAGGATTATAAGGGATTGATGCCCAACTGAAATAGACAAGGAAGTACAAATGTGTTACCTAGTTTTATCTGTTTTTTTTTTTTGATCACTTGCTATAAATGGCAAGCCTTTTGTTTTTCTGACCATATTGTTAAAGGCAGATAATGTCAAACACAATAGATCACAACATGGTTGGGTTCGTGCTCCTAAAATATCATTCCAGGGAAAATGTCAACTTTATGCGAATGGAAGTTTGTTAATACTGTTTCTCAATAGTTTCAAATAATAGAATGTAGCATTTATACCTTTCTTATTCCTTGTAAAGACACTAATAGGGTATCTTTTTAGTATTTTATTTGAAGTCTATGCATAGTAGAGAAATCATGTCAAAGAGCATTATTTTTGCACAACATTTCTGCATATTTTAGGGACCACGTATCTCTGCTGCTATCCTATTGTCTTCCTAAATTCAGTACTGTGTTAATACTTCCAGTAGTCCAAAATAAGCCTCTTTTGTATTATAATTGGATTCTAATATCCTGCACTTATCATTTATACTGGTTGTCTCTCTGGAAAGATGCAAAAGTATATTTTTACTTATATTTGACATAAAATATTTCTGACTTACTTAAAATATGATTGAATATGTATCTTTTATTATTGATTCACATTATCTTTAAATTGCCACAGAATTATATTGGCTTATATATCTATTATTTTATATTTGGCTTTTATGAAATGCAAATTCAATTATTGGGCAGAAATGGTAAAATGGGTTACATTAAATTATGGAATTTTAAAACAGTTTTGGTACAGGTATAAACATCAGTATACTTTAACAGCTCATACATTGTGTAAGTGCACAGACGGAGGAAAGAAAGATGTTTAAAAGTTAATCTAAAATTTAGTACGCTTACCTCAAAAAACATGACTACACCATGTAAATTGGAATATCTTACAGAAAAGTAAGAAAGCTATAAACTTTTAAAATTACAACTTTTAAAATATTAATAGCATTAGCTTATAGAGGGTTTCCTCATTATAGAAGCCAATTTCATAGATTATGAAATACCAGTAATCTGAAATTAAGTTATATTAAATTAAAATTGCATGTTGTTTTTTCTGTATTTTGTAACCACTATTTGGAGTAAATCCAAGACCATCATATTATATTTTTATAATTGTTTTAAAATATTAATTTAATGATTAATTACAACATTCTTCCTGCCCCCCAAATCAAGCATAGAAATTCAATTATTCCTTTCTTACCATATGTACAAAGTTAACTTTTAATATTTTGATTGTCTGCAGGTTAACTTACTGGTTCATACTGCAAAGAATATTGGAAAGGAAACAGAGCACCTGAGCAACTAGATTCATCAAGGTGGAAATCCCCGCAGTGCGCAAAGCCATCACAGCGTTGGTGGGCTGGGATACAGCTGTTGGAAGAGGTGCACAGCAGGGCACCATTAAAGCAGCTCTTATTGGCTGAAAAAAAACAAAAACAAAAACAACGATCATGATTGTAAACATGTATTTGTTTTTCCAATGAATTCCTCATACTGAGATAAAAAGACACTTTCTTGTGTTACTCTTTATTTATTTGGTCCTGTGTGAAGATAATTCTTCACAAAGACCTTTTTAATTAACTTGAAATTTTCTGCAAAATCTACCAATAAGAAACTTATGTTTTCATAGGAAAATGCATGTACCTTGAGATCATAATGTTAAGTGGATAGTTAAATGTTTCATGGTTTGTCTTATATGAGAAACACAATATATAAATAAAATACAAAATAAAAGACAGACGATAGGAGAAAAAACAGAAAGAAAAATTATTGTAATCCAGCACGGACAATGTATTTGAAAGTGTACCTTGATTTAGTGTAACTATGTGATGTGTTTCATATGTTTTTTGGAGTGTTGTCTGGTCCCTAATCTGTATGTATGATAATTAATTCTATTGGCTTTGATAACATAAATTTGATTCTTGAAAAATTTTTGTAATGGAGGTTGGAAGGGAAGAGAAAAAATAATTGAGATGTGTAATGAACATGAATCTATGGCCCATAATGAAGGCAATCATTATGTATTACAAATATGTAAAAATAAAAATTAAAAAACCATTGTCAATAGAATAATTTCTTCAATACACATTCTGTATTGAACTATGCCACTCCTCCAAAAAATTGATGTTGAAGTCCTAACCACAAAAGCAACTGTATTTGCACCTAGGACTTTTAAGACAGTAAAGTTAAGTGAAGCCATCTGGGTAAGGCATAAATCCAATATTATGAATGCTTTTCTAAGAAGAGGGAAAGACACTAGGGAAGCGTGTGCACAGAGGACAGGCCACATGAGGATACAGAGTGAGAAGGAGGCCAAAGACAAGCCAAGGGAGAGTGTTAGGGATGGATCAACCTGCCAGTCATGGACCTTTGGCCTCCAGAACTGTGAGAAAACAAGTTTCTATACTTTAAACCAATTCCGAGTTATTTTGTTATGGCAGTCTCAGCAGAATAATACAAGCACTGTATAATAATACTTGTAAATGTAATAAAATGCACTATATATCCCATAAAATCTGAGCTCATTTTATAAAAGAAGATGACTTTTACTTCAACATAGTCTTTGGACTCTATAGCTCTCCTAATGCCCCTGACAGTAAGAACTGAACTGAGGAAGCCTGAAACTTGTTTGGATATTCAACCTCTAAATGAGGTAAAAGTCACAGGTGCTCAGTGAGTACCTGCTAGATCTGAGTGATAATGTAGTTCACTGAAGCTCAGTGTACTACAATCAGCTGGTATGCCTCTGTAGCATTATGATTTGGCATCTTGGGAATGTATATAGTAGTATTTCCACATTCTCTTGTTTGGGTAATAAGCAGAGTCTGACATGAATTTAAGGACAAACTTATGAATAGATTATACATATCATACTTATACGATTTAGTTGTTTCAGAAAAATATCTATTGGTGCTCAGCAGGAGCACTGAAAACTGTTTATTGCTAACTCAGTTTTGCATAAACTCTACCTCCTTCGATGTGATTCTAGATCAACCAAATGGTATCTGCTGCATCCACTGGAACATTCAGTTCTTAATCCTAAAACTGAATTCCATGTTTTCCTTCTTTAGTCTTCTCAGAATTACAGCTGCTTCCAAGAAGGCTTAAGCCCTGATCTTTATTATCTTATTATATTTCAATTACAGTCCATGCCAATATTGATGTTTTTGTTGTCTCTGAGCCATTCATGTGACAGCTCTTCTATCTAGCATTGCTGTTTGTCTGGAGCAAAGAGAGTTTTTCAAATCATAACCCATTGCACCATTTTGTCAGAAAGTCTGGTTGGTTTTCAAAAGCACCAAATTATAATGATATTGATCTACACTTCTTTTCTAACCTTGCTTATTCATATCTTACAGTTCAGTGACGATATTTCAAAGGCAGTCTTAGGCAGCGAGAGTTTTCTGGGTCTTAATACGTGTTTGAACAGCTTTGTTCCTGTCTGATTGCATCACACAGTATCCTACTTCTATATTTTACTCCAATACTGCGCTAAAACTTTAGAGGAGGGTGGGGGGAAGGGAGGGATGAGAGAGGAGAGAGGAGAGAGAGGAGAGAGAGAGAGAGAGAGAGAGAGAGAGAGAGAGAGAGAGAGAGGCTACTAGTTTGGGAAATTTCTTACACTAGAATGAAGATGATTAAATCCTAAACTTTTTAAGCACACTGATAATTTAGATGACTCAGGATAGGCATTTCTTTACATGAATATTTTATAGATTTTATCAATTATGTTGCATATTACTATATTCTTCAACTGCAATAGGTCAGAAAGAATTGTTTATTTGAGGTTTTTGATATTTTGAGAACATGCCATCAAAATTTATTGTTAGACATGAAAAAGGATATTTGTAAGTACATATATCTTCACTGACTGAAAATACTGCCTATAAAAAATTTAAGTGATTCTCTATAGTGCAATCCTTCTTAAAGTGCTAGAATATAAATTTACACCAATAACAGTCATGGAACTACTACCTGTAAGGGGCTTGGCTTAAAAAATCTTAAAATGAAGAGTAAGGAATTTTAAAAATAAGAGAAAAGAATATATTTAGTAATTCAGAATTAAAATAAAAGAAATGACCCAAAGCCAAGCTTCACTGGTGAAGCATTGGTATAGTTAAGTATTATAAAGGAAGAGCTTCTTTAGTGTGGAGATTTCTGCAGAGAATAAAAGGAAGAGTATAGCTGGGAAATGGGTTACAAGTTTCAATATTTCCAGAGAAAAATAATTTATTTTTTATGATGAGAATCAAGTCTATGTAGTGAGGCAATGAATAAAATACTTCACCATTGCCTGAGGAATTTTAATTAAGAGGTAGTGAAAATAAGCGTGTTAAAACAGCAGGTACAAGGTGAAAGGTGAAAAAACTGTAGAAACTACCACTGCCCAGGTGAAGGCAGAGTGTTAAGCTTTTCCAAAAGGTCTAAACATTAAAAAGGCAAGTTATAATGCAAAGTAAACTTGGAAACAGAATAACAGCTCAACTGAAAAGGTTCACATATGTGAAAAATGATCTATATGTCTACATGCATCTTTATAGATACGTGTATATATACACACATACTTGGAGAATATACATATTTAATGTTTTTATTGAAAAGAACTGAAAGATGATATAAGACAGTAGTTTGTTTTAGCCAACTAATATGTTGACATTTTTGCCAGATAAAAGATTCTGTTTCTATATTTTTAAGCTTTCTTTTGAAATCTTCTATTGAAAATACTATTCTTTATTCAATTTATGGAGTGACTGATAACTCATTTTCAGGCTTATTGCATAACAAAGAGCTTTAATTCATAAAGGACATAAGTATACAACTTTGGCACAAAAAGCAATGAAATGCATAAAAATAAAGTAAATGTTTCAACTTTGTCAAAAATTTTACTTTTTTCCTTTGACTAGAAAATTAATAGCTTAAGTAGGTAAAATTACTCTTTTACTTTATTAAATTCAAAACCAAAAGTATTCATTTCTGTAGCATATTCAGTAATATGACATTAAAGTTTATGGATAATCACCAATTTCCTTTACAAATAAGTAGCACAAACGTAAGTGCAGTTAGCATTATTGGTATTCATCTGGCATATGGAAGAAGGAAAAATAAGTTGAGCTATTTTTTTTTAAAATTTTCTCCTTTTATTAGTACGTATACAATGAATAGAGATTGCAAAATTAGTCTAAAGATTATACAAGAGTTTTAGCAAACTCAGGTTTTAAACTGTTTCTATGAGCAATATTTTTCTATATTCCTTTTCAAACAAGTGTGCTTTAACACTTGTAAAAATACTTATTCCAATCTGTCATCATTTTAGAGTTTTATACTCTTTCTTACCAAAAGAGACCCAGTAACACAAAACATTATGTAGCTTTCAACTTATTCACTTACGTAGATGATACCTTGAGAAAACAATTCATGAAAGGTTCATTGCAGTTATTTGTGGTATGAAATGTTCTCTTACCGATTACAGTAGCTATATAAGAAATATACACAAATCAAAGTATGCATGACTATAGATATGCAACCACATTCTACTAAAATGAAAAGTTGTGCATCACAGATCAGTATTTCTAACAGGAAAGTGGCATGGTCCTGTGCTTTGAGTAAAGGGGACAGGCCCTGCAGGGTAGCTACAGATCCTGCACCAAGAGGACAGACCTTTATACCATCCTTGGATGAAATCCACCCACTGCTCTTATCAGTTTAAATAATTTTCCACTAAATATAAAATATATTAGTAAAGAAAGGATAATAATAAATTAGTATACATTTTAGGTACTTGATCATACTAATTTTAATTAATTCTTCAATACTTTGTAAAACAGATTTAATTTCCATGATTTAATATTGAGTAAACTGAGTGATAGGCAAATACGCAGGAATGATTTTTGCACTAACACTGAGAAGTAATAAAGATGCTGCAATCCTATATAACATATTTAAAGATCAATTATAAAAATATTGATCACTGAGTTTTTGTTGCTCTCCTATGTCTAAAAACACATCAAGTTAAAATATACTACACTGACACCCTATTTAAACTGAAAAACAGCAGGTACAAGACCACTTTGATCTTTATGCTGCTTAAGAGCAGAAGATAATATTTCCATGTGAAAGACACTTTCTGTACAGTAGGAGGAAAGCAACAACTTTATCTTCAAGGACAAGAATTTGAAACCAAAAAGTATCATATAGCCTTTTTAAAAATAGCACCTACTTTTTTAAACTTTCAATTTACTATTGTATGTTCACTTCACCACATAAATAATTAGCCCCACTGCTTTTGGTCTTCCTTTTTTTATGAGAGCTTCCATGCCAGGTATAAACTAAATTTTGATTTACTTTTTTTAATCTATATTAGGTTAATTTAATTTTTGGACCCCACTGATAACTTTATGAGATAGAGTTTTTCTATCTTGACAACTTTGTCTTCTCATGGTCTTTCAATGTTTACATTTTCTTAACTGGCCTTTAGTATTCCTTTCAATTACATATGCCTCATTTGTTTTTTCCTGTTTTATTTTATATCATTTATATTCACAGTTTCAATGGTCACATACTGGTGAACACATGCATCTATGTATCTTAATCTATATTTTTGTTAAGCTCTATGTAATTCATTTTCAAACATATTCTCAACATTTCCATGTGGATGTACCCCACATATCACAAATATAACATGTCTTAAAAATGAAGCCACAATTTTCTCTGAGACGTTCTTGTACTTTTCCAGCTTGGTTATACACATTAGCTGTCTTGATGCCAAATCAGAATCTTGAAAACTACTCTGGATTCTTTTGGCTTCATTGTTTTAATGTCTCTTGAATCAATCGTATTATTTAACATACACTTTGATCCAGTCAATTTCTTAACATTTGAATTGCACTAGCCTCTAACAATTCCTTTCCCTGCTCAGAGCCATTTTATACACTGCTTAGACACAGTTGTGTAACACTAGTGTGAGGAATGAGGATCTCTTCATGATCTACTTCTCCTCCAGAGTTCTTTCTGCATTTCTCATCACAAATGTTAACCATACAAATAATGCTTCATTCCAATGAGTTTAACTTTTTGTCTAGAATTTTCTGCACAAGCCAAGCAATGCTGCTTTCATCATCTCTTCACAATGTGTTTTTCCAAGTCTGGCTGTGTTGTCATTTTTCTTGTGAGAATTTGGAATCTAGCGCCCCACCATGAGGCACACTCCATGTGCTCCACAACACCACGTGTTCCTCCTGTAACAGAGCTCATCAAACAGTATCTCACCTTGCACTCACCAGTCTGCTTTCAGTGGTGCATAACCCGTCCACACCTGATCTGGTACAATGCAATATCTAACTGTGTAATCAATGCCTACAGCTGCATATAGCACTCATTTAGCTCTTAGGCAAGGTTTATGGAAGATTGAAAGAAAGAATGAATAAATGACTCTAAGTTTACAAAACACCTTTCTAAATCATTAAAAGGGCTTGTGAAATAAACTGTTATATCTTAAAATATTTGGTGATCTGCAATCATTTAATGTTTTTATTCTGTAACTTCACTGCAGCATTTTATTCCCAATATATTCCTAAAAAGAATTTCTTTCAGGAGCAGTTTCATATGACTATCTGGTCAAATTCCAACTTTCCCGTGATGGCCTAAAATTATAAGCACACAATACTTTGCTAGGACTCTCTTTAAATAACAATCTTACTTGAAGCCAAGTATCATATAACTATAATGAATTTAATATGATTTCTGTCACTCAAACTACTTTAGAGTCCTAATGGGGACAGAGATAAACAGTTCGGCAGGGTTTCTCCTTTTAATTCACCTGCCTTTGCTTACCTTACCTCAAAGACAATATTAGAAGACATGTCAAATTTCCTTTATCACAGAAATAATATACAAGTAGGAAATGACAGGTCAGAAAAAAACAAATCTCTAATTCAAAAACAGAAAAAAGAGTTTCACTGCTTTAAGTTTAGAGTCTTTATTCATACAAAGACTATTTCTTTTTTCTTTATCTTAATTCCTTTTCTGTAGTCATCATAACTCCAGATCCCCACATTAATTAAGATACAGAAACAGCTGTATATATGTTTCCCTCTTACTTTACATTCTAAATAGATTGTTACAATTTACAATTTCAAATATGTAGTCACTAATATGCAGTTTATGGACCTCCATCACAGTAGCCCTTATAAAACATAGTAGAATAAAGTATAAAAATAAACAAATAGTTACATAGTATCAGTTATTTTTATTTTGATGTGTATAATTATTTCTTGACATTTTTCCTTCTCTATTTGACGTGGCTGGTTATAGTGAAAATGGATGGTGCTGAATATAGGGCTTAGGATTTTACAAACATAGAATTAAATTCTCATAGCTTTGTAGGTCAGGTATTATTTATCTGATTACACAGATGATGAAACTGAAAAGGGCGCTACCCAATCGCCTCCTCCAAAATTGCACAGGCAGCGTATATCCTTAGGATTTACTGTTCCATGGACTCACACTGATATGACATCCATCTAAGCAGTTGTCCTGCTCCAGTCCCTAACTGTACGTATTTGCTAAAATCTGTTTTTGTACAGCCTTTGACTTGAGCCAGTATCCTGAATATCTAAGGTAGAAAGAAGTTCTAATCAGAGTTATTTCACCATTTCCATAAATGTGTTAAAAAGATAAATATATAAAAGCATCCACCATTAGGATGACCCAGATGTAAGTGGAAAATGAAATAAAAGCATTTCAACAGAAATTACTGTAAGTACCAACGGAGTGCTTCCAGAAATGGTAAGTAAGAGCAACATGTTTTACTTAGCGACATAATATACAAAAAATTACAGTATTGATGATTTAATCATGATAAGGCTCTAGAAATCTCTGTTTCACCTGCCATGCTTCTCTATCATTTCAAAACTGAATTTATCTCCTGGTGCACTGAACTACTGAAAATGACTCACCACAGCTGGATTCATCTTCTTCAAAGTGACAATCAGGCACTCCGTCACACAGAAGGAGGGATGGGATACACTGGTCTGCAGAGCACTGGAACTCCATGTCTCCACAGGGCTGAGGAGCGGGTCTGAGAGGACAGTCTAGCTCATCAGAGCCATCTGTGCAATCCTCACGTCCATCACATTTCCCTGACTTGGGGACACACTGCAGCGTGTAAACACAAGCAAACTCATCCGCTCCACAGACTGGGGGCTGCACGGTGGCAAAATCTACAAAAAGAGAGTAAGTGAAGTCATGTTGGCATCAGGAGAGTCTTCTCTCTGTACAGTATTAAATATCCTAGAATACATTTATTCTTAGGTAAACATCAAGCATTCCAGTCAGGAAATATCAATTCTACACAACATCTAAATACAGTTAAGAGAGTATCCCTTGTTTTAATCATGGAAGCACCATTCTTAAAAAAGGTGTCATTGATATGAAAACTGATATTTTCAAATTGAAGAAGCAATTTTTATTCGAGTGCCTTAAAATTTCATTACTAGACAGTAATTAAGTACTTGGGAAAGATATACTGATAACTTTAGTATTAAAAGGAATTGTTCCTGTATCAATATATGATATTGTCACTGTAACCGCCTCTCAGTGGTTCCCAGTCACCTAGGGAATCCAGTTCCAGAGTCACAGAAATTGAGGGCTGCTATAGACTTTCCTCACTGTATTCGACCCATATACCTTGATTCCTGCTCAAAGGCCAAGTGCTGTCATATTTAATGTAGAGGTGAATCACATTTTCTTCTAAAGTATTGCATTCTAAGCAATCCTGAAGATAATATGGTTCAAACACAATCAATTCATTTTACAAATAAGGTCTTTCAAGTCCACAAAGTTTACGTGTCTACAGATTCAATGCTACGTTAATACACTTGCATCACACACACTCATGTGTCTCCATTAAGTCAAATCTGGTAAAAAGCCACACATGGTGAGTGTTGACAAGCTGACATTTGTAGAGGACAGGGAATGGATGTGCGTATAGAAGACTGCACTAAATTTCTGGAACTTTACTAGTGAAGCTGTTTTTATATTCTGTACTGTCTCTGCAGTGGCTGTTGATGGAGGTGTGAGTGCATTAAAGGAAAAATTAAGAGCTACATAGCAATGGGGACCTGTTCAGAAATCGTTTAACTTTCTTTACAATTTAAAACCACTCTTTCCAGGTGTGGAGGTAAAAGTAATCCCAGGCTTCTTAGATGGCTGAGGCAGAAGGGTCACAAGCTCACAGCTAGCTAGGGAAATACCATCTTAAAATAAAATATGAAAAGGGCTGTGGCATAGTCAGTAGGAGGCTCTAGGTTCAAATCCTAACACAGAAAAACAAACATAAAATGCTTTTTATATATAGAGTTTATGAGAATATTTTATACATAAAGATGGTATGATAGATTTATCTTTTTAAAATGAGATTTGAAAGGTACCTTCCCACCCCACTCACTGAGTAGTGGATTCATAGCACATCTAGAATATACTTTGACTCTGACTTATGATCCAAGCCATGGACATAAATATGGGGAGGAGAAAAACATTACTGTGAGAGGTCAGCACCATGTTCTTCTAATTGCTTGAGACCACTGTGGTATATACAGTTGCAGTGTAACAGTGTACAAAATCTAAATTCAAAATTAGAAAGTAAAAGGGAATTAAAAGTATACTACTTTAGTAAATCCTAAATTTTTATAGTTTTAAAAATGCATAACCATAATCAAATAAATAGTTTCTGTTCATTTTTTTCATTAATTTCACATTTAAGAATGGGCAGGCATTCTGAATTTTCTTTTTTGAAAATACTATGTGCATTAAAATTTCACTTGCACTAAATTGCCAAAAATTTAAAGAACTTAATAAACTCTGAGCATGTAATGAAAATATAGAAACCACTTTTCTACCATAATTATTACTTATCTAAGGTAAACATGCTGGTTGTCAACTTGATTGGCTTAAGCACTGCTGGGGTGGTGGTGGGTTAATAAATCACACTTGTGGGTGTGTCTAGGTGTTTTAAAGAAGCCTGACTTTCAGGTCTGTATTTTCTCTCTTGCCTTCCTTTCTGGGCTAATCCTCTGGTCTGCTTTGCAGCCATTATAAACTAAGCAGCTTGGGCCTGCCACCATGGCTTTTCCCGCTTTTGAGCCTGCTGACCATGGTCGGAACACTGAAATCATAGTTCAAATTAAACCTCTTCTCCTTTCAGTTGTAGGTATTGAGTATCATGCTCCAGCCCCAAAAGTTAATGCAGTAAGATTCTAACATTTTTTGAAGGAGAAAAAAAAAAAAACTAGGAAAGTATTCTATGACAAATACAAGGTCTTTATGCTTCTCAGGCTCTATTCACAATGTTTTTGCGTATGTGCACTCCTTTATATTTTTCCTTGCAATACATAGGCAAAATAAAACTCTCACTTGAAGGTGGCAATTACATTAAATCTCAGAATCAATTTTATCTAAATGCACTTAGAACTATTTGGCCCTTCTTTTCAAGGAAGTCAGTGATCTTGGACATCCTCTAATGAACAGTCTTGGGCTGTTACTCCTTCAGGATCAGGCTGTCCTTCTCCCACCTGCTGTGAGTCAGTGATGACAGCTCAGTCAAATCCAGCTCCAATAATTGCCCTCCAAAGTTATATATACTCCCAGGCACAGCTGCCTTCATATTTGGTGAGGTGAGTCTAATAAGACTCAGGTTGTGCTCTTCAAAGTGTGATACCTGCAAAGAGCCAGCGGAGCTTCCGAGCTCCCCATGGCACGGGCTGAAGACCTTGCTGCACCTGGGTCACAGCTCACCAATGCCTACTCTGGTTTGGTTTCCTTCCTTACACTGTAGGAGAAGATCCTGGGAGAGTTGCCCATAAAACTTCTACCCAGGATCTGCCTCAGAGTCAGCTTGCCAGGGAACACGATCTACAGTACTAATCAACCATCAAAATGTATCTTGCTTTAAATTAAATCCCCTCTGAATTTTCCACTAAAATATTTATGACATAGGAGGAACATGAATTTTTATACCCTAGAGGAGTCTATGTAGGTTTCAGGTTCGAAGCAGTTAGCTAAATATTTCACTCTTTTGTATCCTAATGAAAATTCAGTGTCTTATGCACATTGTATCCATGCCCTTTCAGTATAAATGGCTTCCTCCAATATTCATTCAAATACTTCCATTTCGATAGATGTGTTTAGTTGAGGGTCACTTTTTGAGTTGCCTAATTTTTACTGGTAAAAATATCTCACTTTGTAAAATAGAGACAATATTAAATGTTCCTTTAATGGTATGAAAAATCTCAACAGTAACTTAAATTCAATCATTAAGTGAAAGCAGACAATCTGACAATGCTATCCACGCCTGATTTCAACTACATGATATTTTGGCAAAGGCAAGACTATGCAGACAGTGTAAAAGTTAGTGGCTGCCAGGAGATGGGTGGAGTAGGAGGAGGGTGCAGAGAAATGAAGATGTGAAGGACAGATTTGTACAGTAGTGAAACTGTTCTGTGTGGTACTAAGTTGGATACATGTTATCATACTTTTGTCAAAACTTAGACAAAAACCCTAATTGAAACTATGCACTTTGGGTAATAACGAATTACAATACATTCATGTCATCATCTGTAATAAACATACTACTCTTGTTAGGATACTGACATTTGGAGGGTGAGTAGTATATAGATGTTTTCTATGCTTTCTTCATAATTTTATTTTGCTGTGAAAATAAAAATTCCGTAATATATAACACACACGTATGTCACACACACTAACTGAACATACTGATACTGGTAAACATAGATACCAATATTGCTGTTGAACTACATATACTCACTACACACTACACTGTGTGTGTATATGTAGTTCACTACACACACACACACACACACACACCCCTATGCCTCCCAGTTTAATGACCTACCTGTTTAGTGACTATTTAGATTTATGATGGAAATTCAATATTTCGACTCATGATCTGTCTTTTTTTAATATAGTTCTGCATATCATGTTTTACAGCCTCATTGTCTTTTTTGGACAGTAAGCTTGTTTATAGGGTAATTTTGACTGATTGTACTGTATAACATGATACTATAGTTTTATGTTCTGTTATACATTATAGTACTGCATGTAAGAGTTATGCAAAGAAAAGCAAAGTCATCAAGTGGGAGTTTCCTTTGTACATTTCTTTGTTTTGAATATTTAGGGTACACACTGTAAGCAATTCCTCATTTAGTGACCATCAGGATAGTGCTCAGTCATTAAATGAAGAACACGTGTGTACTTACTAATATTCCTTAGAATCTATATTAAGGCTGTAAACTCATTTGGTTAATTTCTTAGAATTTTTGTCTTCTGACTTCTCCAAATCCGTTTAAAAATGTAAAATTCCAACATTCAGAATGCACTATATTTTGACAAATGCAATAAGCATTAGCCAAACACATTGGTCCAGTTGCCAAGTAAGCTGCTTAGTCAGGTTATTTAAAAACAATGACCTTGAGGTGCAAGATCAGTGATGACTGAAAGATACAGTGTCAGTCTGTCCCAACTGTGTTAGTATCTTTGAAAATGTATGTTATTGTTCATTACATGAGAAAGGTACTCTGTAAGAGACTAGAACATTCATAGTGCAAAGCTGAAATTTACATCAGGGAAGCAACCTGACACAGAGATCTGTGCTAATAGTGTCCTCTTCTGTCCAGAGTAGTGCAGTGAAAATCGGATGAAGAAACACAATAAAGAAAGATAAGGGAGACAGAAATATTGATGGGATTGAAAGAGGAAAAAAATACTCAAAGATATCAATTCATTTTGACATGATTTGTTAGGTATCTTAAGTATGTATGTAAATTTGTAGTTTACAAATGTTTTACTTTTTGTATATGTAGCTGGGATTTAAAGCTGTCTCAATAATAAAGTTAATCTCATTCACTTATGTCCTACCAAATTTGTTTCCGTTGGTGAAAATTATGGATGTAGATTTATAACTATTATCTGGAAACTGTGTGTAAGGCTTTGCTCTCTTGTCTAAAAATCTCATAACTAAATCTAAATCATGTCATCAAGTAATTGCAGTTATGTTGGTACAACACTATCTTTTGCAAGTCTTTTCCCAATTAAAAGTCTTATTTCACACAGAATCTGGACACTTCAAGTTACAGTTGAGAAACTTATACCTCAATTTTAGAATACAGTACAATAGAATCTCAGTGCCCACCTAAATTAATACCAT